AAATTTGTGACTACTAATTAGAAATAAAGCTTTTTAGTCATGTCTGTATGCTTCTACTGTACACTAATAAAGATACAACTATTTAAGAGGTATTTGAAATAAAAATAAATTCAATTCATTTCTTCATCAGTTTTATTTTTGTTTTTACAAATTCTCAGTGCCTGAGCATTACTTTCAAAACCTACTATATATATATATATATATATATATATATATATATATATATATAAAGAAAGATTGCATTCATCTGGGGAACATAAAGCAACAAAAAGGGACACTAACACCCAGGAATGGCTGAGATTAGTACCAGGAATTTTGCTCCATGAATGGAAGGCCAGCCACACATTCTAGGTGAAAAGGAAGCTCAGATAGAGAAGAGAGCACCAAATGAAGGGTGTTGTGAGGACCCTCCCAGGGTGGGAGAAGCATGTTAAAAGTAGTCTATAGACCAAACATGATTGCCACTCAATGCCTATCTTGCAAAACACAGTACCCAAAAGAAGAGAGAGAGAACAAGGGGGAATACCCTGCCACAGAGGCAGGATGGGATGGGGGGGATGGGGGGTGGGGGGGATGCTGGGACCCGTGGTTGATGGATGACGGGCACTGGTGGAGGGATGGGCACTTGATCATTGTATAACTGAAACCCAAGCACAAAATTTGTAAGCCTATAACTGTACCTCATGGTGTTTCACTAATAAAAAAAAACCTACTATAAAATCACTTTCAAACCTTTATATCTAATTTTGCAGATATATGCATACTATTAAGTTATAAAATGGGATGAGATATCTTTCATATAGCAAAGGTTTGATTGTAGAAATTAAGAATATGACGACATTATAACTATTTGTTAGATGTTGATAAGGAAACCCAAGAATAAATTTCTAATAACCATGCTATAAACAAAGACTGCTACCAAACATAGTATATAACCAGTGTTGCCATTGAGATTAGCTTTTAAAATTTGTTTCTAGGAGCTGATATATAGTACAGGGGATAAGGTCCTTGTGTTGCATGCAGTGTCCATGCTGGATCCATGATAAATCAGACCGTCCTCAGAGCACCACATGGAGTTACCCCCAAACATAGCACTGGAGTAAGCCTAGAGCATGGATGAGTGTAGATAAAAACCCTACCTCCAATGAAAATACTAAATTGCAGAGCCCGGGAGATAACTCAATGGTCAGGAGTAAATGATTTGCCTATGAGTGACCCATTTTCTACCTCTAGTCCTACTTGACCCCCATAAGCACAGGCTTGGTCCTGATGACTCCCAGCCCAATAGAACCTGAGCAGCACTGTTCTTAGGGTCTGAGCACTGAGTTGTGCAGGCCTGTTGGTCACTCACTGCCTCTAGGCCTCCTGCATAAGACTCCCTTTTCCCCAGACTGAGCATCATTTAGATAATTGAGTATTTGAATGTGTTACAAGTTTTAAACTTCAGTTGCTACTTTTGTGTTTGCTTAGGGGCCACACCCATACTTGCTCAGGGCTGATTCCTGAAGGTGTACTAGGGGGTTCACTCCTGATAGAGCTCAGGGGACCATATTGGGTACAGAGGATTGAACCCGAGTCACCATGTGCAAGGCAAGTGTAATGTCTCCAGCCTCCTGATGACAATTTCAGTTTCATCTAAAACCCTTATAAAACTTGTTCTGAGAAATTGCTAGCAGAGTTCTCAGTAGATAATAGAGCCTAATGAATAAATGTGACTTAATCTCAAATTAGAGGGGACAAAAACCTTTACTTTGAATAGGGTTGTTTTTTTGTCTCTTTTAGCTTCAAAGTACAAATTATATTATTTTTACAGAAAAATATTGAGGAAACAATACTTATTATTGGCTTCAAATGTAGCTCACCTAGATGACCATTAGCAGAGCAGAGCCTGTATTATTAGTTAACTATAAATGTACTAAATGTACACCTTGACCTGTCTACAAAAAATACCCTGAAATATTTTCATTTGAAGATTTTAGAGTTATTATTTCTAAGAGCATGTTTAGTGCACTCATGCTGATTCTGTTGAATCTGTCAAGGTAGATGTGTAAATCTTTAACATTGCAGGAAGTGAGAGTTAATGAAAAATGGTAGATTTGTCATCAGGCTGAGTGACTTTTCCAGTTAACATGTTTTTTACCTGTCTGAGTGAGTCCATTTTCTTGTTCCTAAATAAAACAAAGCATAAAGAATGTCATGTGTACCTGCTGTCACTTAATCTGTAGGCTACTCTAGAAAGGTTAAATCATTACCCTTTGTGTTTTACCTCAGCCTGACCCTTTAAATAAAAATCATTAAATTTCTAGTGGTAGAAAACATAATAGCAGTTGCAACCTGTGTAACAGGTAATGTTTTTTTCCTGACACCCAGGCACCTGCTGAGGTCATAGTGTCCTTGAGGCTGTATATCCAATGAACTTTAATTTACTGCCTGATCTTTTGGGATTCTCAGAGATTGCACTGAGATTGCAGGACAGACTTCAACTCTGCCCTCAGGAAACGCTAGAGTGCGTAGGACTTTTGAAAGCTCCGGCTGGTCAGCTTGTGGGTTCCTCTATCCTCTGGATTTTTGAATCTCTTGAGTATCTCGTACTGTGACACTTACTCCCTTCTGCCTCAGTGAGGCAGATATAAAGCAGAGCCATTTACCTTAACCATGCATGCAAGTCTGAGAGGCTTGAAGTCTTTCCTGTAGACCTAGGTTCTTACTGCAGGAAGCTGTTTACGTTACAGCTGAGCATGCTACATAAGCCTGCACTTCGTCGATTGCCTTGAGCAGGCCCCAGTAACGTCTCCTTCGTCCTAGCCCTGAGATTTTTTTAAAAAGTGCCATATTCAAGGCTCTTTCAGAGTTAGGAGAATGAGACCCATCGTTGTTACTGGTATTTGGCATATTGGGTATGCCACTGGGAGTTTGCCAGACTCTGCCGGGTGGGCAGGTTACATTTGGTAGCCAGCCAGTTTGTCCAAAGTAGGAATAAGATAATAAGATGTCATAATAAGATGTGGGCCGCGAATGCGGCTGCATGCTTCCGGGAGCTGGGTTTTATAGTCTCTGGGTCTTGGCCGTTGATGGGATTACACGGCACCAGGGTGCCAGTTGGTGGGTGTGACCCCTGCCTACTGGAATTTGGAGGATCTGGGTGGAGGATACTCAGCCCCGATCCGAGCAGGCTTGGAGAACTTAGCCCCGGGACCCGCATGCCTTTGTTCCTCTGCCAGTACCTTCATGCATGTGGAGTGTGGTCTCAGCATGGTGGTGGCTGGTTCTGGAGGTCTTCAGCTGCTGGAGCCCTGGTCGGGGCGGGGAGGGAAACTCAACCCGCTCCCTCCAAGGGGCCCCGGCGAGGACAGCCAGGCGCGGGGGCAAGGAGACTCTGCCTGCACTTCAGCCATAGAAAATTCTTACTGGCTTTTTCTTCTCATAGAAGCACATAACATAATGCTTGACCCCCTCACCACCCAAATACACACACACACACACACACACACACACACAAACACACACACACACACACATAGCTTCTCTTCCTGAAGTTAGTTTTTTACTGTTTGTGGTGTCTCCTTTTCTTAGTTTTCTCCTCCTTTAGCTCATTCTCAGCTTCCAGCCAACTTCCAACCCTTTCCAGTGCAGGCTCCTAAACACTTGTGTGGTCTGAGTGATTTCCCTCTTCATTAACCTCAAGGTGCACTTCTCCCAAGATCGATGGAGGCTTTACTAGTTCAGCCTTCTTTTTTTTTTATCTCCTTCTTCATCAAGTTCAGGAAAGGCACATAAAAACATGGAAAAGACATTTTTTGCTTATTGCTTTCATACTACTCTAGAAGGGGGTGGGGATGCAGGGCTAGTTTAATTATTTTTCACTTGAAAACTATATTTTCCCTTTTAGATATGGTTCTTTGAATTCAGTTTTCGTCATTTTAGATATGAAGATAAATCAGTTCATTTTTATTAGGCTTTGTTTCCCTATCTACAAAAGTAGACGATTGGATTAGATGATTTCCAAGGAGTCTTATTGATTCTAAAAACCTCTACTAGGGGCCATAGATATAGTGCTGAGGCTGGAGAGATGGTGCAGTGGATAGGATGCTTGCCTAGCATGTGACTGATGAGGGGTCAATCCCTGGCATCCTATATGGTTCTCCAAGCACCACTAGGAGTGATCCCTAAGCACTGAGCCAGGAGTAACCCCTGGACACCACTGGGTGTGGCCTCCAAACCAAACTTAATTAATTAATGAAATAGCTGCACCAATTCCCATTCCCATCAACAATGCATAAATATCCCCTTCTTATCTTATCCTCCCAATACATTGCTTTCCTTTTGAATAACAACAATTCTTACAATTTTGTAATGATTATTGATAACATTTTTCTGAGTAAAAAGCAGTGAATACCTTTTTATGTGCTTATTTTATATCTATGTATGTCCTTTTCATAATTGTCCTTGCAGATCGTCTACCCATTTTTAGTGGTTTTTTCTTAGCATTCTATTAATTCCTTTTTATTTTGCATATAATTCATAATAGTTGTTGTATTATGTATAAATGTATTCGCTCATACAGTTGGAATGTCTTTCGGTGTTGACACAAGTTTTTTTTCTTCTCCACGTAAAAGCTTTTTGGTTTGGGATAGCTCCATCTTTTAAGAATTTTGCATTATTTTGGGGTCTGCTCTCTGAAAACTTTGTTTTATAAAGCCTTTGTCACAGGGTGTATTGTCTAAACCTTTCCATATATTTTTTTATTATTAGGACTTACATCCAAGTATTTTGATTAGCTTCTTCTGTAGAAGTCAGCAATTAATTGACAACAAAGGAACCAAGAACATTTATCAAATGTAGCAAGGAAAGTTTTCCCAATATATGGAGTTATTAAATTAGAGAGGCAAATTATGCAAAGGAATGTATTTTGTATAAAATTGTTAATTATACAATGTTGAACCAATGTTTACTTTGAAACAGAGGCGTCATGGAGCAATGCTTCTTTTTATGGTTTTCAGGTCCCTGTATTCCTAATCCGTGCCATCACGGAGGAACCTGTGAAATAAGTGAAGCCTACCGAGGCGACACATTCATCGACTATGTTTGTAAATGCCCTCGAGGATTTAACGGAATTCACTGTCAACACAGTAAGTTATTTATTTATGTGTATATATATTGCAGTTTGCTCTGCTTTTATTTTCATTTGTTGCTGCCATTTTTGTTTGTACTAGAATAATAGACTTTTTAAGCAGGAAAGTCTTGGCAGTTAGCGAATGCTACTTCCCTTCCACCGATTATACCAGTCGTCAGCTGAAAACCCACAGTGGCATAAGAGATCAAGTAGTATTAAGTGATCCCTTTAGCTTAGTGGTTCTTATTTTATAATTGCTTGGCCAGACTTGAAATTTATTTTTATATTGAATAATATCTTTTTTTAAATTATTGTCCTGACTTCTTGGTCTTTGTGCTTCTAGTATCTTCTGATGCACACTGTAGCACTGTAGTACTGTTCTCCCGTTGTTCATTGATTTGCTCAAGCGGGCACCAGTAATGTCTCCATCATGAGACTTGTTACTGTTTTTCGCATATCGAATACACCACGGGGAGCTTTCCAGGCTTTGTTGTGCGGGCAGGATACTCTCAGTAGCTTGCCAGGCTCCTACAGAGAGACAGAGGAATTGAACCTGGGTCAGCCATGTGAAAGACAAACACCTTACCTGTTGTGCTGTGTTAAAAAGTGTGAACGAGAAACAAAATGGTCCCTTGTGGAAATACAACAATCTTCACACTCTTTCCTCTAAGGAAACTTTTTTGTAGCATTTTCAACAGTTTTTCATAACAAACAATACAAAATATTGGTTCTTCTTTGGGGCAGGGGTTGGGAAACATCTGAAATATGGTGATGGGAAGGTGTAATGGTGGTGGGATTGCTGTTTAAATATTAAATGTAATCAAATATTGTGAAGTACTTTTTTTTTCTTTTTGGGTCACACCCCACAATGCTCAGGGTTTCCTCCTAGTTCTGCATTGAGGGTTCCCCTGGTGGTGCTTGGGGAACCCTATGGGATGCTGGGAATCGAACCTGGGTGGGTCACGTGCAAGGCAAATGCCCTACCCATTGTGTTACCGCTCCAGCCCCAGTGTGAACTACTTTATAAAATAAAAAATAAAAAATAAATAAAAAATAAAAACAAACAAAAAAATCCTAAAACTCCTGTCCTGCTTTGGCTATAAACCAAAGTGTCTTTTAATTGGCATTTTCAGTGCCTGAATCTTGAAATTTCAACTAGTGTACTTTTTGTGCTTATATTTTATCTTCAGTCATTCATATATATATATACATATATATATATATATATATATCCTGAAAAATGAGGCAAGAAAGGATTACTTGCAGTGGCATCTTCTAGGAAACTTGATGCTTTTTCAGTACCAATAGGGAGGTGTGCTTTCTGAAGTGCTCTAGATATTCAGCCAGCAGGAAGCCTTCATAAGCTGTCAGAGCAGGCTCTGCAGGAGAGGTTCTCTGTGCAAGGTGGGTCTGGAAGCAGGTAGCCGATATGGAGCAGAAGAAGGGCAACACGAAAATGAAATAAATGGGAAACATGGGGCAGGATATGTGAGTGTTTGTATCTGATAAGATGGTGTTACAGATAAGTAAAGCAAAGTTAGTTATGTCAGCCAGAGTCAGACTTCTGTCAATAAAAATAACGTCAGGGCCTTTTGGCAATGCAACATTGAGAACATTTTGTACTTTCTTGGAGACTTTCTATGAATAAAAGCTTGTGGCATTCCTGTTGAAGACTTTTCCAGCACTGGGGCACTGGTGTTTTGTACAAAGGCAACAAGACTTCTTATAATTCTGTATGAGATCTCAGATGAGAGCTCAGATGTTACTGACTATTCTCAGGCGAAGCGCAGAAAGACCAAGGTTTGAGCCTGCATTTTTGTAGCATCAATGCTCAGCTTTAGTGAGTACACACTGGTGGAAAACAACTTTGGGGACATAGAAACTTGGTTCCCTTGCCATTTTCTTAATTCTGTGAAGAGAATATTACAAATCCATACACAGACACACACACTCACACACACACACACACATATATATATATATATATATATATATATATATATATATTAAACTTCCTAGCAGGGAATCAGCAGGATTGCTCAGGGAAGGCAAATTGGGGACCCCACCCAAATCTTTAAATTTAAAACTATCTGTATACACTGCATACACTTGTAGTGTAATCTTCCCTGGAAATGATAACAGTATTTCATTCATAGTGAAATGAGGCAGGGATTGCACCCAGGTCATGGCCTTTTCTATGCTGTAGAGTTCTGGAAAGGAAAGAAGGAGAGAGTACCAAGGCAGATTCTTGTTAGAAATTCTTAGGTAAATAGTTGGGGGAGTATATGTAAACTCTAATCTCACTTAAATAATTTATATTTATTGTGCTGTCTCTTTAATCCTTAATTTTTTAGAATGTGGTTTGTGACCTCACATGAGATCTTATAAATAAATGTGCATGTTACACAACTTTGTTTTCAAAATAAATTTAATTATTATTTATTATAAGTAAATGTTTAATATATGCCTATTTTTGTATACTGATTTATTTTAAGTCACCCCAGTGTTTCTTGGGCAGAAAGGGGCCATAAGTGGAAAAATTCGAGAACCCCTGCTACTGGTACCAACATAATGTTAGTGCAGGTTTTTACACCTGGAGATTTAGAAACTCTTAATTCCAACTAATATCTGTGCAGTGTTACTAAATAGCTTCACATCTCTAGCCTCTGGATAATGACATGAAAATAGGTTCACCACCCATGCTCCCAGCTTTTGTTTTCCTTGTACTATGAAAATCAGTTTTGTTTCAGTCACCTTCAGTGAGATAAACATCCCTAAAAAGAAATCAAATATTATTATTTTTTTCTTCCCTTTGAATAAAGTTTCCCTGAACAGGCGGTACTCACTTGAGAAGTGTGCACCTGCCTCCATTCTTCATAATTTGTTGGTAGTTATTTCTTTGAAGAGAAATATTTTTAGGTTTAGATAAATAGATCAAATCTTTCTTTTCACCGTCCTCCATAATGGTAAAATTCCCATCTTTTCACTAATGTATTTTGCAAACCCAAATAAACTCATGAAACTACAAAATTGTGCTGAATTTGTAAACTTGTAATGATGTGGACAAAGTACATTCCCTTCAATATAACTTTTCTGCACACACACACACACACACACACACAACACACACACACTCCCTGAAATAATGTTAGAAATTGAGAGATTAGGTTAAGAATTGGGATTTTGTGGTCCAACAATGTGGTTTGAATTCTCTAATATTCATCATTATTGGAAGCAACAGAGAAGGGACAAAAAAAAGGGACAAAAAAGTATAAGATTTGGAGTCAGAGACCTGGATTGCAGACATGACCTTTATAGTAATTGGATAAGTAACCCTGACTTAGTCATTTGACCTTTCTGGAATTAAAAACATATAAATGTAATAATTTAACTTGAAATAGTTGATCTTTGGCATATTCAAGCCAGGAGAGCATTATGACTAACTGAATAGTTTACTTGCTTTACAAAAGTTATCAAACTTTAGCCTTTAGAGATTAAATCGAGAAAGGATTAATATTGCAAAAGCAGATTTTGAAGTTTTGGGAGCCCTCAAACCTTTTTCAAATAGAAGCAAAACCAGAACTTTAATGCTTTATAATAACTGTAATTCTTTGATTTATTTTTCATATCAATAATTTTATGGTCTAGGTATATTCTAGAGTCTTGATACTCAAAATGTGCCTTTGCATCAGCATTGTCAGCAAGCTTGTTTGAGATGCGCATTATCAGGTCCCTCCTCAAGTCTAATATGTAGAATAGGTACTTTCAGAGGATGTCGAATCCACATCATATATTAGGTAAAGGTAAAGGCCCTCCTGTTGATCATCGATTTGCTCGAGCGGGCCCAGTAACGTCTCCATTGGAGACTTTGTTGTTACTGTGTCTGGCATATTGAATACTCTCGGTAGCTTGCCGGGCTCTCCGAGAGGGGCGGAGGAATCAAACTCGGGTTGGCCATGTTGGCTGCATGCAAGGCAAACGCCCTACCCGCTGTGCTATTAAAGTTTTAGAAATAAAATTAAGGTCGCTTAATTTTAAATCCAAAGTCTTAAGTTCATAGATAAAGACAGCAATTTCTATGATGAGTTATGTATGTATTTTAGATAAAATAATTTATTATGGATTCTGAAAAAATGGAAATTCTGTTGACCCTCAATAGAAATGACAGAAGCATGAATATAGTTAGAACAATTTATTTGGATAAAAGAACTGGAAAATATCTTAGGATAACTATATAAACTGGGAGACTTGATTTCTTGAGGTGTTTATGATATAACATGAAGTAAATAAATATCATCTTAAGTAGGGGTAGGAAGAATTTAGGTTCATATTTGTGAGTAACAAATTTATAGTTAATATATTTAGTTTAACAACTATTTTAACAGAAATTTAAAAATAGTTTTCAGTGTCAGTGAGGTGTGTGGATAAGAGTCAGATAAGGGCCCTTGGTAATGAATTTTGGAAAATACTATCAGGATATGTTGTAAAGAGAAGTTACCGGTCACAGTCCTTTTGGTTCCCAAAAGTGCAATAGTTTGACCCATTAGGAAATGGAAGAAGTCTGACTGGATAACACTCCGAATGACCAACCCTGGGAAGGTTGCATACCCCTCAGGAGAGCAGAAGTTTAAGGGGGGAAAAGGTCATAATAAAAATATGAAAAAAATACCAGCAAAAGCCAAAGTCCTTTTCTCGGGACATAGCCAAAGCAATAAATTTAATCTCCGTAGAAATTACAATGCTAGGGCAATTTAAAAAATCCTTGTGAAACTAATTTTTTTTTTTTAAGGAAGGGGCACACACTCTATTATGAAATAACCACCTTCCAACTTGGGATATGAGCTCTCCCCTCCCCTGCCCCTTCCTTTCCCCTCTCTTCCCCTCCCTGGTCCCCCCCTCACTTCTCTCCCTGCCCCTCCACTCTTCTCCCACCTCCCTTGCCCCCCCCCGTTTCTTTTACTGTCTATATAAAAGTACTTTGCCTCACTATTTTTTCTTCTGAAATTTCTGTGTGTG